GGAGATCGTTACCAGTGATAAATGAATGCAAATGAGAGCTATCAAAGGATGTAGTCAAAAGATCGGCATTGAAATCACCAAAAGTAATAAGACTAGTATAGGATGGCGAGAGACGTGAGAAGGAAGCCTCAAACTCAGATAGATAGCCAACTTTAGGTGGACGGTACACAACAGCCAGTAGCAAGCGCGACTCACTGGGAACGTCCACATCTAGGAAAATGTACTCAGGTTTAGAGCAATACTCACTTCTGGAGATTTCAAGCAGGCTTGCACTTAAGGAGTGGTGAACGTAAATCGCAACACCGCCTCCCCCTCTCCCGATCCGATCGCAGCGAAACAAACAGTACCCGTCAAGACTCACAGCGCTGTCAGGAATGTGTGGTTTAAACCACGTTTCAGATACCGCGATACAGTGGAAGAAACGGTTTTTAAAATAGTGCCGGAACTCATCAATGTGAGCAGCTACTGATTGAGCATTGACGTGGTACAGACTGATCCCGGTAGAGAGGCGAGAAGCGGGAGCGGATTGTGACGAAGTTGACCATCATATCGGTATCTTGGCGAAGTCATCCCGCTGTTCAATCTTTTGGGAGGTAGTGGCGCCGTCCTTCCTAACGTAGATGAAGCCGTGGCGTATCCAGACCCTGAGGTGACGGTGAGGCTTCACATAGGCGCGGGTGTCGACGAGGAGTTTGTGCTTGACAGAGGATAGACGCTCATTGAGGTACACACGAGAACCCGGTAAAGACGCGTCAATATCCGAGGCCAAAAGCACAGGCTTCTTCTTCTTCTGAGCGATCCATGAGTCCCGAATGAAAATAGTAGTGAAGCGAATTATCAGTGGCGGTGCACCTCCAGCCTTGGGTGGTAGGCGAAAGGCATCCGCAACGTCGCCAGACTTGGTGACAATGCCCAAGGAGCGAGCGAGGAGTACAATAGTCCTCTCAACGGTAACATCAGGAGCAGAAAGAAGCCCAGTGACAACTATCTGTGTGTCAAGGTTACGCTGCATAAGATGCTCGACTTGAGCTTTAAGAGCAGCACCATCATCAGAGCAGAGTTCGGGATCCCGAGAAAGTCGTTCCTCAAGGGAGTCTATACGTTGTACTAACGCAGTATTATGCTCCTCGAGAGTCTGACATCGTGCCGCCAGGGAAAGATCAGCTGCCTCAAGAGAACTGCATCTAGTGCTCATGGCTCACATGTCAAGTGCCAGCTGTTGTACAGAAGTGGCCATATCCTGCGTGGTCACTGTAAGCTCAGACACAATGCCCTTTATGATAGGAAGTTCTCTTAAGTCGGTACGTTGATTCTTAAGCTCATCCATAATATCTTTCACCAGTGCGGTTAAGGAGGTTAACTGGGCAGACGTTGAAGTTGACGAAGAAGCAGTAGATTTATCCATGATGGTCCGGGCAGAAAGTCGAGTATGTGGAGTGATCTTGTCTGCAGAAAGGCCGATACCTTCAGAAGATGGCAACGGTGAGTAGCAGGGCTTGCAGCGCAGGCACAGGAATTGTGGAGCCGAGTTGGACCCACCAGTCAGGCACGAAGGATGAGCATAAGCGTTGCAAGCAAAACTAGCGCACTTAATAGCCTTGGTGACGGATATGAACTTTTTGCACACATTACA